TGTGGATTAACCAGCAGATTTCCCCCGTGTGATAACGTCCTAGGACACAGAGCAATGGCTTCAGATTATAATAAAAGAGGTCGATGGCTCAACTTGAGAACTTTTGCCCCTTCTGCCGGTGGAAAGGAGTGCGTTAGGAAGCAGTGGGCTTTCCTTCTTGAAGACGTTCTGGCAGACTTTGATGCTATCAGGGATGCTTCAGCTATGAATTCCTGTACCGGCCAAGGGTTGGACTAAATGATCCTTGGAGGACCTTCCAGCTCTATGATTCTACAGTTTCTCTACTTTCCAGTTGGGGGAATTGCTTCCCCAATGGCAGTCTTCTTCTGGTTAAGTGCTGAGGTTGTCCCTAGGAATATAAAGCCAGAGAAAGCTTAGCACTGCAAAACCTGAACCAAACAAACACAGACACACACACACCACCAACAAAGCAAAAGTCCCACTGAAAGGCAGCCGTGGGACCATTTTGCCTAGATAAAATAAGGGAGGAAACAAGCAAATAAGGAAACTAATTAAAACCAAGGGCTTAATTAACAAGTTGTTAGAGCGAGGAAAATAGGGCTTGGAAGTCGTAAGCAACCAGGCCAGCTCAGTGGAAGTTTTCTCTTGCTTCTTTCTCTTTTTCTTTTGTTTTTTCCCCCCAATCTTCTTCTTACTAATTTTTCAGTTAGTTGGGTCAATTCCACCTGTCCATTCCTGGGCAAAATTCAAAGTGCCTCTAAAGCCCTAAATGGCTTAGATCCAGGCTATCTGGGAGACCGAATCTCCCCATATGGTCTGCCCCGACCCAAAATCTGCAGGAGAGGTCATGCTCTCACTTCCACCATCTTCCCAAATATAGTTAAACATGAGACAGGGCCTTCTCCGTGGTTGCCTCTAAATTTTGGAACTCCCTGCCGAAGGAAGCTAGATTGGCCCCCTCTCTGCAATCCTCCCATCTGCAGGAAAATGTGTTGTGCGTCTTAAAGTCTTTTCCAAATTATGGTGGCCCTAAAGTGAATATATCATGGGTTTTTCTTGGTAAGTTTCTTCAGAGGGGGGTTTGCCATTGCCATCCTCTGAGGCTGAGAGAGGGTAACTGCCCCAGTTTACCCAGTGGATTCCCATGGCCGAGCCAGGATTTGAACCCTGGTCTCCAGAGTCATAGTCCAACACTCAAACCACTACGTCATGCTTGGCAGGAAAATACTTAAAAGAAAGAGAAAAACAGATAGGCTTTTAGAATGGGAGGCTTTTAAGGAAAGGGGTCTAAAAAGCTGTACTGTTTCTAAGTGTTGTTTAACTTTTGCAAAATACATTTTTGAGCATGTATGTGTTTGATGATCAGCATGGCATAGTGGATCGAGCGTTGGACTATGACTCTAGAGGCCAGGGTTCGATTCCCAGCTTGGTCATGAAACCCACTGGGTGACCTTGGGCAAGTCACACACTCTCAGCCTCAGGGGAAGGCCATGGCAAACCTCCTCTGAACAAATTTTGCCAAGAAAACACTGTGATAGGGGCACCAGAAGTCAGAAATGACTTGAAGGCACACAACAACAACTGTTTTCAATATGGCTAACAGCTTAATTTAGCTGTAATGTTGACCTTTTATGGCTTTAATGGAAATCTTTTAAATGTGTAAGCTTTTCCTAGGGGAAACGATGGAGTCTAAGGGACTTTACAGACTGCCAGAAATAATGCAGATTGACAGTCCTGGCTCAATGCTAGGGAATCATGGGAATTGTATTTTTTTCTGGGACATTGAGCCTTCTCTGTCAGAGAGCTCTGGTGCCACAATAAACTACAGTTCCCATGATTCCTTAGCACTGAGCCAGGGCAGTTAAAGTGGACTCAAGCGGCATTATTTCTGGCAGTCTGCAAAGGCCCTAAGTAAAGACAAAGACAAGAGCAACACAAGAGCTCTTGTATTGATTCACTGCTGGTGCTGTACAGCTTTCAGATCTTTTAAAAGTGCTCTCCATTGTGCTGGATGCATTGCAACCACTGGACAACGGTAAAGGATCTAGCTCTCCATGGTGCTGAATTATTTTGACGCTCGAGTTCAGCACCTTGGACACTTCCTTTAATACGAGGACCAAAACCTGAAGTGAACTCGCCGCCCCATTGACCCCGGAGCGGCCCTCTGACTCCGGCCCTCGCCGCTGTCGCAGCCTTGATACTGGGATGGAAAGAGTTGTGTTATGTCAATACCAAATCTGTCTGCAATTACCAAAATAAAAAGAGAGTGTCGCGCAACTATGCAAAAGAGCTGGCACTCGAAAAATTGCATGACAGGGAAAGTGACAGCTTTTTATTAGCGTGGTAACAGCCAGGAGTTTTAAAATAGAGTAATCGGTGCAACAAAAGCAATTTCATCCCCCACTTTCCCCCCGTCTCCCTTCCCCAGAATGCTCCTTCTGAATGGATGCTCGCGTTTTAATCAAGCGGCTCATCACGAACGCACAAACACGGGCGCCAAAAAATGCCTTTTAATTAACAGAAGTCAAGAGTTATATTGTAATTTGAATGTTTACTGTTCAGACCGTCTGATGAGATTGATGGAAAACAAGGTTGTTGTGATGGAGAGGGTGGGAAGGAATAGTCTTTGTTAGAGTCTCTTTCTCTCTTTTTTTGAAGGAAAAAAAAAGGATTTGCACAGAAATAAGAGAATAGAGAGGAGGCCCAGGTTGAAGAACTTGGCAGTTGAAGCATTGTCTCAGTTTTACAAAGCGGCTTTGGCGAAGGATGGATATCTTGATAAATTTCATTCCCGCAGGCAAGAAGAAATCATTGAACCATTTTTGGCCTTGCTGGGATAGAGACATCCAAAAATGCATCGTTTTTAAAAAATGAGTCACAGTTCAGGACCTATTCTATGCAAAACAAAACACACCTTTTTTTTACAGAAAACAGAATTAGCAAGTGCAAAAAAACAGGACTTTTGGTGCAAAAACCAGCCTTTTCTGTGCAGAATACAATAAAATATATTAAGATATAGATAAGATATATTATCATGTATTGTTATTATGTACTGTATTGGTTTGCAATCAGCTGCTCTGATTGTTATTATAGTAGAAGAGCGGGATACAAATAAAAGTTTTATTTATTTTTGTTTATTATTTACAAGTTCCCTGTGTAGAAAACAGCCTTTTCTGCACAGAAATGTTGTTTTCTGTGCAGGAAACTTGTTTTCTGCTCACAGAAGGGTAAAAGGAAATGCTCACATTCTTCAAGAGATACCAAGGAGTTAGTGCTATTCAGAACTGAGAAGCTGGGAAAGTTACTACCCAAATAGACAATACTAAGCTAGATGGACCTATGGTTTGATCCCCATGCAATGGGGCAGGAACAATGAAGGGCAGAAGCAAGGAGCTCTCTGGGGTGTTGAACCTATTCTCGACACAGTATTCATTGGTCTTGGAACTGTCCAGGGCAGGGGTAGGCAACCTTTCCCCTTTAAGGGCCGAGGGACTTCAGTTCCCAGAATCCCAGGAGCTATTGGCCAACATGGGACTATTGGCCAACATGGCTGAGGCTTCTGGGAGCTGAAGTCCTTCGGCCCTTAAAGGGGAAAGGTTGCCTACCCCTGGTCCAGGGTGTCGAACCTAGTCTAGGGATAGAGTTCATTGGGTTGGAACTATCCAGGGTGCTGAGCCCACACAATATTCATTGGCTTTTGAACTGGACCTATTCTAGGATAGAGCCCATTGGGTTGGAACTGTCCAGGATGCTGAACCTACTCTGGGGACAGAATTCATTGTGATGGAATTGTCCATGGTGCTGAACCTATTCCAAGAAAAGATTTCCTTGCATTGGAACTGTCCAGAGTGCTGAACCTATTCTAAGATAGAGCCCATTGGGTCGGAACTGTTCAGGATGCTGAACTGCAGGGATAGAGTTAGCAATAGCAATAGCAAATACATTCCTATACCACTTGTCAGTGCACTTAAGCCAGGGGTAGGCAACCTTTCCCCTTTAAGGGCTGAGGGACTTCAGCTCCCAGAATCCCAGGAGCTATTGGCCAACATGGGACTATTGGCCAACATGGCTGAGGCTTCTGGGAGCTGAAGTCCCTCGGCCCTTAAAGGGGAAAGGTTGCCTACCCCTGACTTAAGCATTCCTTAAATGGTTTACAATGGTAAGCTAATTGCCCCCAACAATCTGGGTACTTATTTTAGTGACCTTGGAAGGATGGAAGCCTGAGTTGAGCCTGAACCTCTGGCTGGTATTGAACTCACAACCTTGTGACTGTGAGTGAGTGGCTGCAATACAGGCATTTAACCACTGTGCCACCAGGGCCCATTTTTAATGAAGAAGCAAGTGGAGCTTCGAAGGCTGGTGGGGTTTCATAGGGATGGAATTGTCCATGGTCCTGAACCTATTCTAGGATTTAGAAAATACATGATGCAAGCCTTCAAAGCTCCACTGGCCTCTTCATTGGACAAAGGTGTTAAAAATCAAACGAGAGAAAGCGGGGAAAAGACGATGTTGACAAGATGTTGTTATATTTATTTAAAGTTAAGATGGTGTGGAAGGATAACTATATCAGTAGAGGCCATTCCTCTTCCCCGACCTGGGGGGAAAAGGATTGTAAACTCTAGGGAATGGAATATAAAATCCATTAGCAACACAAAGAGAACCTCCATTTTTTCTTTCTCCTGTTTGATTTTTAACGCCGTTGCCTGATGAAGAAGCCAGTGGTGCTCCAAAGCTTGCATCATATATATTGTGCATTTTGGTTGGCCAATAAAGGTATTGCTGTTTCTTGAATTTTGGATGTGATTGCCCTTTGCTGTGTTGCCAACATAGCTCCCCCGGATATATTTCTGAAGGATAGAGTCCATTGGCCTGGATCTATCCAAGATCCTGAACCTATTCTAGGTAGAGAGTCAGTTGGCTTGGAACCATCCAAGATGTTGACCCTATTTTGAAGCTTGCATTAAGTTTCTTGGGTGGCTCCTTTAAAGTTCAGGCTAGAACCCAGAGCAGAATGATCACAGTATGATATGGAGGCCACCAGCTCCCATTGACAGTGGGAAATCTCCTCCGGCAATGTGCACATTAGTGTGATGCATTTCATGCTTTTGGAAAGTTATTTCTAGCTCTTCCATTTGGCATTTTCCTGTGCGCACACACACACACACATAGGCATCTCCACAAAGCATTTGTGCTTAATCTTGAAAGCACCAAGACATTAGCTTTGCCTCATTTGCACGGCGTCTGGAAAACGAACAGACTTTTTTTAAAAAAAGTAAAAGTGAGGCCAGATGGAATCCTAAACGCTTCACTTACAATATTTATTTAATTTCTCCTCTTTTGGAGCCAGCCTGGTCCTGCTAAAGGAAGATGAAAAGGGTTATAGGGATGTAAAGACTATTTGAGAAGTGGTCAAAAAACACATTGTTCACAAGGCAAGAAACCATGATGAGAAGAATCCTGGACTGGGAAGAATCTTCTCATTTCAGGACATATTCTGGGCAAAATTTGGATGTGTTTGTTGTGTGCATAAAGCAGCCCTTTTGGTGTAGTAAACAGTCTTTTCTGCATGGAAAAAGCTGTTTCCTACATAAAAAATATTGTAATTAAGGATGTGCTTGGTGCAAAAATGGTATATGGTTGATTTGCACAGGAAAGAGCATTTCTGTATGTGAGAAACAGCATTTTCTTTGCAGAAACCTATGCAGAAAAGCTGTTTGCTGCACAGAAAATATTGTGGTTAAGAAGTTGTTCAGTTGTACAGAGAAAAATGGCACATGGTTGATTTGCACAGAAAACAGTATTATTATATGCAGAAATATTTTCTACTAGAAAAAATGTTCCCTGCACAGAAAATGCTGTAATTCGCATATGGTTGGTTTGTGCAGAAAATAGCTTTTAGCTTTTTCAGCACAGGAAACTTTTTCTGTGAAGAAAATAAGATTTCTGCAATTTTTATGAGACTATGAAATGGATATTTAACTATACAGTCAGCCCTCCTTATCCACGAATTCAAGTATCCATGGCTTGAAAATATATTTTTAAAAAGGTGTAAATTCTAAATAGCAAACCTTGATTTTGCCATTTTATATAAGGGACACCATTTTGCTATGACATTATATTTAATGAACCACAGATCCACAGATTTTGTAATCCACAGATTTTGTAATCCATGGGGGGCATCCACAGATTTTGTAATCCATGGGGGATCCTGGAACCAAACCCCAGTGGACCCACTGTATAACTTTTCCAGGCCTGATTTTCCTTCCCTGAACCTGACGGAAACATCATTCAAACTTTGAAGAACCACAAAATGTGTTCAATTTGTAGAAGAAAACAGTCTGGGCCAGGATCTGGAGAAGTTACTGAAGTGGGGCACAACAACTCCCAGAATCTCTCAATATTCTGGGGGATTCAGAGAGTTTTAGTCCCCCAA